CTTTGTGTCTAGATTTTTAATTCTCATCTATTTATTTATTCTGTTATCTCTTGATGCGTAAAACTAATGTATAGTTTATCTTGTTAACCCTCTGGGAACAAATAAAATTAATTGATGTTAAAAAAAAAAAAGTCTAATCCCTATGCAAGCAGCTCGTCCAGCTGAATTAAAGAGTCTGAAGTTAGATGAATTGAAAGATATTAGTTTGATAGAAGCTAGTAAACTGTTCGTTAGAGGTTCAGTTAATGGAGCGACGTGTGATTGTAAAAGTTTGTGTGCCGCTAAACACTATCCATGTAAGAAAACTAATGTCAAATGTTCTACAAAATGTCATTCAAAAAGAGGTGATTGTAAAAATAAAGAGTAGTTGGTTTCTGAAATGTTTCTCAGCAACAATAATAATAAATCAGTCTAAAAATTGTAAAAGTTTAAATTAGTTAAAAATTAGTTCTATGCATTTGCCTGTTTCATTTGTTACAGGTCTATAAGGTATACATTGTACATTTTTATTTATCCAGTGACGTCTTGAGTCACACATCTGATACCATTTAAACACAATTCCTGTTTACGGAAGTGGTTGTGAGGTGCCCACAATTCAAAACTTAAGCAAAACATTTTACTTCGATATTTATACATGGTTCGACGCAGCGTCTCGAGTTGAATCTGAATATGTGTGTTACAAGGTTTCAAATCAAGTTTTTAGGGTCAGGAACCCGAAAACATTCAAAATTTTCGAGTTTTTAAAAATCCGCTATTTCTCGAAAACGAATGCAGAACTCGAACACCGTGTCTTACAGAACCTTCGACATTTTGTTTTCATGTTCTCTGTCGGAAAGTGAATCAGAAAAATACGTTTCTAATGTTTCGTAAGTGTAGAATGGTCGAAAAAAATTTCGCTTTATCGCAGATAGTCAAAATCCGCTCATACAAAAAGCATCAAGTCTGTTAAGATGGGAAATGAACCAGAAATTTTGCCATCATTACTCTTGTCTTCGATGTGTGCAAAGCTTTATGCGCCCTTTTCCTTTGATTATTTTTCTTCGTAGAGATACAGCTATTTCTTTGGCGATATCTTCAATCGGGCATAAGTCATTCTCGGATAAAATCTACAGTTTTCAAATAAAATCAGTAAAACTAACCCAAAACAGGTAAAATCCGATGCTGAATATAATGGTGACATTTACAGGATCTCTGAGAGATTTCCAGGAGGTCTCTGGAAAACTCCTGGCTTAAAAACCGGCCGAATTTTTTTTAAATAATCTACTTTCGTTTACCACAAGAGAATAAAAGAATAGAGGTGTGACGTGTAAAAATTGAGAAAACCACTTTCAGAAAATAACGTTTAAGATAACGTCTTGATACCTTGCTCTTATCTTTTTTTCTTCAAGGATAACTCATTGAACAATGTAATACAAGCGAGACACTGTGAATTTGTGTATTGTTGATATGTCCTTTTCTATCTGCTTTTGATTGCTGGATCGGGCTGCCTCTTTGGTTCAAAATTAAAAAAGTTTCGATGTTCTTGCATAAGGTTTAAATTAATTGTATCGATTCTGATCAACTAAGAAAAAGAATTACTTATTCAGTAAACTAGACGAATACAAGCGTATCCATGTCTAATTTTTGATAATCGGCAGACAACCAACAAGAAGTTCCACTAGGGAATTGTCTGTCGATTATCAAAGATTAGACATAGATACGCCTGTATTCGTCTAGTTTACCGAATGAGTTATTCTTTTCTTTAGTTGATTTTTTCACTTCATTTTATGGATTTTCACTAAAACCTTCCGAGTTTCGGTTTTTTCATCTTGAAATTTAAGCCTTTTTATTAAGAAAAAAGAAAAACACAAAAAGCAAAATCACAGTGTCTCCATTGTATTACATTGTTCAATGAGTTATCCTCGTAGATGAGGCATGCATCGAGTCCGAGTCCTACTCGATACTCGACATTACTCGGCTACTCGAATAGTTTCGATATTTAAGTTTGAATTTTTTTGAATGAAACGTTTCCTGTAAAAGTGATTGCCATGTGCGTTCTTGCAAAAACTTGTGTAGGTATCTGCAGAAAGTCAATAGAAAATTCGCTATTTTTATTTCAAAAATAATCACAATATTTTTCTGTTTGCACACCACCATGAAAGACCAGCCATTTTTTCAGAAGTGAATTGCGTCCTATTTTCTTGACTTTATGCTACTATGGCACACGATAAACAACAAAAATTATTTCTTTTAATTGAGCATAAGCCGAGAGCTGAAAAGTTTCCGCCATTCATTCCATCATCAACAGAAGAAGGACTATATACAAAAAAATGACTGATTCCAAAATGTGGGCCTTCGTGAGTAATATCGAGTATCGAGTACTCGGGCTCGGTGCATGCCTACACGTTACACCTCTCTTTTATTGTCTTTTGGTAAACGAAAGTAGATTATAGTTCAACGGGGTAAAACATTAGTCATGCCCTGCTTTGGTTGTGTCTTCAGGTTTTCTAAATAAACCTCCGTCTCCTCATTATAGTTCTCTTCTTATTAAAGATGGCATACAATATTTGTATTACCATCGGCTATGTTTTCCATAATGGGTGCGGTGTACATAGAATATAAACCGCCCTTTTCTTTTGGATCACGATAGTTAGGGCAAGTAAATTTTACAGTGGTAGTTTGAATAGGGCCCTTGGATGGTGCGGGTAATACCACATTGGCCAAAGATGTATCATAATCACACGCTGTACCAGTATGTAACACAGCTGAACTTTCGCATATTCGAACCACTTGCGAAACTAATGCTTGACGATTTCCTGTATTACTTTTACTTTGTAATGAACAACGAAGTACAGTTTGTTTTCCTGGTGTACAGTTTCCAACAGATGATTTCATAGTAAATCCACAATTTCTTTGTGAACCAATATGTTGGCCAGCTGGTGCACATTTTGCCTAGCATGAATAAGAAAAAAGAGATTAAATAAACTAGTAGATGTGACTATATTAAGAAAATACTTACTTAAAGAACTGCTCTGATCTTAAAAATATATGCAGTTCGAACCTCTTCTGAATATATTATTTAGTATGTTGTTTGGCTTTTTTTCTAGACATAGTGTTTTTAGTTTCATTAAAGTTATCATTTATATATTCTTTATGACGAATATTCGTCTTATTATCATTGTAAAATTCAATAGCTAGATAAAATTCAAAAAGCTCTTTTGGCTGATATAATTGTTTTCGTAGTTATATGTTAGACTATCTTTTCTTAAAATCCTTTGTATAGTGGAAGGAATATTTTGTTGTTAACTCTAGTGATGGATCTACTTCTCAGTTTTAGCGCAAAGAAACTGAAAACAAAAAGATTCATTTATTACATATCAGCAATTTTAAAAGCAAAGTTTATGAATTGAAGCTATGTGTACAAAACTTACGAGGGAAGTACCCCAAGTTGCCAATGATTTTTTCAATGAAACTAGGTGGACTATATGTAATTGATGAGCACTCATTCCGAATATGAACATCGAAGTTGCTCGTAGACTTTCGCTGATTCTGAAAACTGCGTCTTCGGAAAACCGTGAGCTAAATCCCGAAAATTTTTCTGAATCAGCCATTTTTTAAAGAACACAGAACTGTCTATATTCCATAAGTTTTAATTTGCATGGGAAAAATTTCACAAGACAGTGACTATGCTGCTTTGATGGAAAAATGTTGGCGTAGAATATTTTGCAAAAATTATAGCAGTGTTCAATGATATTTTAAAAACTAAAACTTATGTAATGTAGACAGTTTTATGTCCTCTACACAATGGCTTATTCAGAAAAATTTTCTAGATTTTATTATTGATTTTCCGAAGCCCAGTTTTCAGAAAACTGATCAGCAAAAGCCCAAGAGCAACTTCGATGTTCATATTTGGAATCATTGTCCATCAATTACATATGGTCCACCTCGTCTTATTGAAAATACGATTGGTAGCTTGGGATACTTCTCTCGTTAGTCACCGATCATTCATGAAAACCCTGCTGGACGGGTATCTGTAAAATGAAGAAGTTGCTGGTAAATCAGACAATCGACGTGTTAGAATCGAAGAGGGATCCTAAGACGGAAGAAGACACCCCGGTAGTGTAATGATTTATTGCTCAGTAATGGGTATAGCTAAGAATATGGACGACAGAATATAACTTCTTATGATACGTACTGTGGATTCGTATGTATTTTTGCCTGCTCTGTAAGAACAGTTTCCCCATGAAGCAGTCAACTGAACAGCTTTGTGGGTTTTGAAGATATAATTTGAGACGATAGAAGTAATATACTACAACTATACCAGTTATATCAGTCAAAAGAGCTTTCGGAATGCTAGTTTTGAAGTTGACAAAGATAACAACGTGAATATTAGCTGGAAAGTATATGTAGATGGTATTTTTAATGAAGCTAATCAACATTATGATTGATAGAAAGTCGAAAATAAAAACTAAATGATGTATTTGACGTTGGATGAAGAGCTCCGTTAATGTTGTCTCATTGTTTAAAGTAAACATTTTTAAAAAGACGTATAAGAATACGCATCATTATTTATTGTGACTTACAGTAACATAACCATTTCCATCCCGTGGTAGGGCAACGCGAACTTCGTCCACGTTATTTTTTAATGTTGACGGATTAGTACCAATGATACATTTTGGTTTATATACAGTTTGATTATCAACAGCTCGAAACTTAGTTGCTACCCAAATCTGTTGACCAGCAGAATCTAATACTAATTTGCCTTCACATAACATTTTATCTGGATTCATATTTGCTTTTAACGAATCATGAACTGCCGATGCTTTCGTATTATAATNTAGGGCAACGCGAACTTCGTCCACGTTATTTTTTAATGTTGACGGATTAGTACCAATGATACATTTTGGTTTATATACAGTTTGATTATCAACAGCTCGAAACTTAGTTGCTACCCAAATCTGTTGACCAGCAGAATCTAATACTAATTTGCCTTCACATAACATTTTATCTGGATTCATATTTGCTTTTAACGAATCATGAACTGCCGATGCTTTCGTATTATAATTAGTTACATCAATCCATTGGCATGGAATACCTGCTTGATAAGTGTCTGAGAAAAGAAATGGAAATCAAGACAAAGTAAAAATGTGTGTACGTGTATAATGAATTATTTTCAACTAACCTGTCCAACCAGCACTGTTACCTTGATATGTACAATTATAAAAAGGAGACCAAAGTGGACTCCATTCCGCATTCGCTTGACGACCAGTTGATTGAATACAAAAGCCGCGTTTCGCATTCTGAAATTTTGAGTTACCAAATGTAAATGTTCCATAATATTTAAAATGATAATGTCTATGGCATGGGTCATATTGATATAAACCATGATTTGCAACTACATTTGGTTGTTGTGTGCCATTATCTAAGATTATATAGATTTGACCAATTATTAAATTAACTCCACCTATATTTTCATCACTTGAATCAAATAATAATAACCTTCTCCATCCTGTGCCACCAATACAGGGTTCTTTCAATTCACATGAAGCATTATCAAAATATTTATATTGTACCAACGTACTTGCTAAACCGCTGATAAGCATTTTTTGATCAGTATCAGATGGATGCTGAGTTGATGGTGGATCACTTTTTTTACGTATCTGATCAGCTAACACCCGATTCCACGCTAAACGTGTGAAGTGAAAGGATACGTTAACCGAACCAATATGTTGCTTTAATGCAGTAATACAATCAATATTAACTGTTCTGGAACAGTGACAACGAACACAGCCTTCAAGTGGTGTAGGATTAAAAGGTGGTTCTGATTTACATGTATCATCATAAAACCACTTTGTTTGTTCAGGATGAACACTTGGAACTGGGAAATTATCTGTGAAAAAGAAAATATATGAACAAATTAATTAGTATCCAATTATACTATCTGCTTGTCAAGTCTCACAATTCGCTAAACTTCTTATCTCTCTCTACTCAGCTACATGTTTAATTCTATTTTTTGTTCAGGGTTGGGCATAACCTTTTGCTAGAGGGCATAGCTCCAGCGACAAATGATATAGAACTGAATTATATATCAAATAAAAGCTGATTGAAAACGGGATTAACGGGTATAACTGGTAATCCATAGGTTGATTATGAGCTATAGAATTATGGAAGTTTCTATCGCTCGTCTCATAATGAATGAGGCTCTGAGTATTTCCTATCTTTCTTGTGTTCGTTTAGGATCCTAAGATTAGTGTTTTTTAAAATATGCGCCATGAAATACTCTACAAAACCGGACTCAAACTTTAGTTTTAGAACTTCAATCAAGAAAACTACTTAAATTATGCGAAAGGCGGAAAAACTGAAAACTTTGTATATTTGGTATTTTTTTCGACTTGAACTTTTTTCTTCTGCTGTCATTTCCGTAAAAAGTGTAGTAAAAGTGAACACTTGGTTCTTTTTGTACTTTTGAATATGTTTTTCACTTGGCCTGTAAAACAAGAGTTTTAGAGCAGATGGTATGCTGGAGAACGAAGTTTCCAAACTTCTTCCCGTTTTCAACAATGTGCCCAAGGAAGAAATGGAAAATATGATCAAAGTTTTGATTTTGCAGATAGCAATAAAAAAGCAATCATTTCTGATCAAAACAAAACAAACCCAATCGAAAAAGCTTTTGTTTTGATGAAGTTATGAGACTTTTACTGAAAGCATCACTACACCCCGAATTTAATTATTATTATGACGCACGCGATAGAAACTTCCATAATTCTACAGCCAATAATCGTCCTACGAAATATCAATTATACTCATCACTCCCATTTTAGATGGACATTAATTTGGTATATAATTCGATTTTATATCGTTTGTTGTTTCAGCTCTACCTCACTTTTACCAACCCTGTACAAAACTTTTACCCGAAAAACTGTCTAGTTAATAAACGGTCCTTTTTTAGGGAAAAAGATTCATATCTCATTGTGACAAAGTCTGCAATGTCTTATTTTGTGAAAAACATTTTAAAAAGTGTCTCCAATTTTTAAAGCTATTGCCCCCCCCCCCCAAGAGCCCCGACGAAATAACCGTTGCATGCGTACTCTTAGCTAAAAGCTAGAGAAACTTTTGAATTTTGAATTTGCTTGTTAAATTTTCCCAGTTTGTAGAGAACATTTTCGAAGTACATGCTCTGAAGTTTCTTCGACTTGCTGACATTATTTGACTGAGAAAAAAGTCTATTACTGGAAAAAATGTTGTTCATTTATCGAATTACTGTACTTGCCGAGCGGCGTCAGTAATCCTACTAAAATGGACCGAAAGAACCACAAACTTCATATTCATTTTGGGATAATTTAGCCCATTTACAAGCGCTGTGATTCAACCGTTTGTGTA